TCACTGCTTTCATTGAGAAAACATGGAATGTCTCTTGACTAACTGACAAAGCGTAATGAAATGACAAGCTGGTTGAAGCTGATAATCAATGCATGGCCATATTTATTCATTTTCCACACACTTGACCATCTACTTTGTATAACACATTCTTCCACGACCCAGGGATATAATGGTAAACAAGATAGATGTAGTTCCTTCCCTTGTGGCATGTCATAATCGAGAACAGTTGTGCATGTACACACAATAAGTAAGAAAATTAATAATTATGTTAAATGATATGAAAAGGGGAGGATTGTCCACTCACTGTTACCTGTGTATTTGCAAATAGATGAATGGTTGAACTCCCATGTCAGCTTTTGTGTTGCCATTTATTTAGTACCAGACATAGTGCTGGTCTCACAGTTTAATATTTGGTAATGAATAAATTCTGCTAGTGGCATATCTTAATCTGAATTTATAATGATAGGATATAGAATTGGCAGAGTGGCAGATGTTCACAGTTGTCTACCAGTGGATGTGCTAGACAATGGAAGGATGCAGGCCAATTACAGTTGGGGTTCATGTGAGTATTGAGCCCTGGAAATGTAGCTCATCCAAATTCAGATGTGCTGCCAGTATAAAATACATACCAGATTTTGTAGATATACGAAGAAATGTAAACTATCTCAGTTTTTATATTGGCAAAATCAATATTATTTCGTACAGTGGGTTAAATAAAACAAGTTTAGCCTTCCTCAGTTTATTTTTTTACAAAAAGTCTAAAAATCGTACATAAAGCTTATATTAACTTTCTTTTGGTCAGTGCTATCTTAAAGGAAGTATGAGTTGAAAAAAGTTTGAAATAAGCTATATCATATTACCAGGATTTAATATAGTGGCATACCCAAAAAATGTTTAATAAATATTCCCTTCACATTTTAAAATTTGAGTAGACTGTCATGTTTAACAATATAGAAATTTAATTTTTAGTGGAACGATTCTAAACTCCTTTGCCATAAACATCAAGAAAGACGTCAAATTTATACTATTTCTAGAGAAATACATTGTGGCTTAGCAAAATAAGCAAATTCACACATTACTTTTGCTTCAAATAATGCTTCTGCCAGTTGTCTTTTGCAGCATGCTGAACTTGAAACTAGATTTGTTCCTGCCTTTTCACAATGTGAGTAGTTTTGAAAAGTGATATCTGGCCATTTGTCTTTCCTAGAATATAGTTACTTTGTTGTTGTTGTTGTTGTTGTTGTTGTTTTGCTTTTCTGACCCAAAAAGACTGATAATGGTGTCTACCATACATTCTTCAAAACATTTGTCAGATGCTGCACTAACCTAGGCTTTAATCTTTTCTTTTTTTTTTTTTAATTGCATTTTAGGTTTTGGGCTACATGTGAAGAACATGCAAGATTGTTGCATAGGTACAAATGTGGCAGTGTAATTTGCTGCCCTCCTCCTCATCACCTATATCTGGCATTTCTCCCCATGCTATCTCTCCCCAAGGCTTTATCTTTTCTATCTTGGAATTTGCTTATATAAACCCTCTAGCCTAGCCTAGATCCCTTACCTTTTCTCCAATTCCTGTCATTCACCTATTTCACTGTGTAAGACACCTCACTAGTCACCAGTGATACAGAGATGACTTAAGCAGTTTCTGCTCTTAAGGCCTTACCGTTTTGTCTGTAAGATGCACAACTAAGTGTAAATGATAAGTACAAGTGACAATGAATGTTTAATGCTTTATGCTTAGTGGTATTTGTTGGATGAGCAGCATTTTGACCCTTGGAGAAGGAAAATTGGCTGTGTCATTCCAGGTGGAGTACCTGACAGAGAACTAAGAAGTTATCTAATATAAAAGACCTCATGCACCACCTTGTACATAAACTTTTTCCAGATGAGGCTAAATGTGCATGCTTCATAACCATAATTCTTATTTTTCTTTAATAAATATTTTTCTACTTATAACACTGCATTGTTTCAAACTGTTTACTTATTTGTAAAGCTTGTCTCTTGATCAAATTTGTCTTGACCAAATAAGTTTCCTGAGGGCTGGAATTATGCCTTAATTATATCTAAGTATGTAACATTGAATCCTTTGTATAATGAAAGCATCAATAGATACTTTTGAATTGATAAATAAAAAGCACAGTTTCAAATGGTATCACTTTGCCTCTGATGTGATATTATTAACCTTTTCATTTGTTTCAATAAATGCATTCTTTTTTTTTCTTTGCCTATACATAATGTGGTTTTCAAGTACTTTTACCACTTTAGTGTATCAGAGATAGAATACTTAGAAATGACAGAAATTTGATCTCTTTAACTTGTTTTATACATTAACCACATGGGTCATCTTGCCTTTTTACCCCAAAAAGTAGATGTTTTATGTTACAAAATCAGTATATTTTAAAAATTCAAATAGTAAAATTATATACAACTTCCCACTCTACCAATCATGGATCTCTCTTCCCATTCCTCTGCATACCACACACACCCACTTGACAATTCTGCTTACAGAAATAACCACTATTGTCAGTTCCATGTGCAGTTTTAGAGATTTTTAGGTAGTGAATTTTAAAATACCATATTTAAAGGCAAAAATGGAATCAAACTACCTGTACTTTTTGGGCCTACCTTCTTTTATTTGATAGTAAGTATCTGCCTATGTGAATATATAGAGGTCTTCCTGTTTTTAATGTTTACAGAATTTCAGTGTATAATTGAAGTGTTCCATTTCCTAATGGTGGATATTTAGGTTGTTTCTATTTTCCCTCTGCACATGCATGGAGCATGTGTGTATGTACATCTTCATTTGCCTTATCTAAAATCCTAGAAATGGAATTGCAGTTATTAACGGGGATAAGCAGTTTACTTTTTAATATCAATTGTTAGATTGTCTTTCAGGAAAGTTGTATCAATCTGCAATCCTATCAACAAATTCATAATTGGCAACTTTGCAGATATGGAGGGTTACCAATCATTTTACTTTTTGACAATCTGAAAAATGAAAATGTTCCATTTTGCAATTTATATTTGTTTGGTTATTAGTGACTATTTTAATATTTTTATTGTCCATGCATTTGTTTCTTGTGAACTTATTTTTATGTCCTTTGATCATTCTTGTTGGATTTCTTTTCCATTTATTACTCATATTAAGAGTTACATATTAAGGATGATAAGGTTTTATTGTTAAGGATGACACATACTAAAGATCGTAATGTTTTTACTGTTATTCATGTTTAAACAATTTTTGTAATTTGTCATTTATATTTTCACTTCATTTGTTGTTCAGAAATGTTTGTTTTTATGTAATCAATCACTTTTGTCTGAGTTTTATAAAACACTGTTCTTATAAAGGCATTTTTCATTCCAAGTTTATAAGATATTCATGTTTCTTCTAGTAATTTTATCATTTTACTTTTTACATTTAAAATTTTAGTCCCTCAGAAATTGAAATGTGGTTTGATGCAGAAAGTTGTTTCTTTCCAAAATATGTTCCCAAACTATTGATTAGCCCATACTGTATTGAAGAGCTATCTTAGCTTTTACTGTATTCCTTGTACTATAAATGGTCCTGTTTATCTTCTGTTGTACTTACATATTCTGAAACAGCACCAAGCTGTTTATTACACTAACTTAAGCAGAATTATTTCAGGGCTCCTAAAATTTCTCACCCTAATCCTCAGGACTAACTGATGGATTTTACCTCCATGATAATAGTATATGGCATAATAGGCTTTAAGAAAGGGAGGTTTTCTGGGTGAGTCTAACGTAATCACTAAGCCCTTTAAAATCAGTTTCCTCCAGCTGATGGTAGAAGAGAGTGAGAGATTCAAACATGGGAAGAATTTGATGGAAGGGGTCATATGGCAAGGGCTTGAGGAGCTGACAACTAGTCTTGGCCAACAGCCAGCAGGAAGATGGACCTCAGTACTACGTCCACAAGGAACTGAAATCTGCCAATGCCAAGAATTAGTCCAGAAGCAGATTTTTATCCAGATCCACATGAGAGTTCAGGTAATACCTTGATTTCAGTCATAAAATCCTGAGCAGAGAATTCACCCACACCTTGTGAGATTTCTGAGTGACAAACTTGTGAACTACTGAATGGGTGTTGCTTTAAGTGTTAAATCTGTGGTAATTGTCATACAGCCATAGAAAAGTAGTAAGCATAGTCTTATTGTACATTTTGATAGCTAGTTCTGTTGCATATAGTCTTCTGGATATACTTAGTAATTTTGTCAGAGCTAGAAGAAGATGCTTTTTGGGATTTTGATTGGAATTGCATCTAATTTACAGATAATTGAAAGACAATTGAGTGTACAATAGTGTTCTTAGACAATAAGCATGTTCAGTCTCTTTATTTATATAAGTCTGTTGCATCCTTCAGTTGCATTAAGGTTTTGTCTGTTAAGGGCTTTCATATATCAAGTTTATTTCCAGAAATTGTATAGCATTTCTTGCTTTTGTTAATAACTTTTTTTTGTTACATTTCGTAACTAGTTCATACTTACGTACAAAAAAGAAATTGATTTCATATACTTACATTCTATCTGGCCAGACATGCCAAAGGTTTGTTTATTTTATTGGCTCTCTCAAATAACTACTAATTTTATTTATCAGATTTGCCAATTTTAATTTTTTCATTCATTCTTTTACTAAATCTTTTTTTTTTTTTTATTTTTTTGGGTTCCCCCCCACACTGCCTTCTTAAGTTAAATTCTTAGTTTCTGTTTCATTTCAAACTTTCTCGTTTACTAACGGAAGCGTTTGACTCTAAGTCTTCCTTTCTGGTTTCAGTCTTGTATGTGTGCTCTAGATTTTGGTGTGTAGTGTGTTCATTGTTTCTAGATACTCTCAAATTTTGCCTTTGAATTTTTCTTTGACCCAAGATTTATTTAAAAGGGTATTGTTAAAATTTCTAAAAGCTTTCACTGTTATTTTAATTGCTGTCTTTTATGTGTTCATTTCCAGCTGTATTGTACATTGTGACCTCCAAAGGTAAGCTCTGATTCCTACCTTTAGAAATTGAGATATTTTGTGAGGACAGTACATAGTTCAGTTTTAAAAAATATTCTTTAGGCACTTGAATAATTATTTTTTAAGTAGTAAAAGTGCTATTTTAAAATAGAACAAAATTGAAATGTAATAGATAATTCTGCACATTATGTGACTTTTTGTGGTACTTCTACTGGACAATTCATGGAAAAGGCCAATAAATGTACAACTCAGAATATTATTGACTCTCCTTACTAAACATAAAGATGTTCAGATATTTGGTCTAAACTGTTTTCTCAGCCAAATCTCTGCTTTGACAGCAGTAAGTAACTTCATGGCACTGTTTTGTCTTCTCCTTCTTTCAAATCAGTATTGGTACACTGAATCAACTTAAAGCCCAGTTGCTTTATCTCAGACATTTGAATGCTAGACTTGGCCCTACTTATTCATATTGATGTGGTAACTTTTCCTGAATATGTTTGAAAATTTTTAGTGAGGTAAAAATTTAGTCAGTTATAAAATTGGAGTAATTAAGGGGAAAAAAAAGCAGAATCAACTAAAGTCCACAACCAGGATTTCAATAGCAAATAAGCTGCAGTCTGTATAGTTGTAGGTAATTAGTTCCACATTCATTGACTGTTAGAAAATGCTCTGGCACTGACTCACAGAAAAACAAGGACACATGAAATACCTTGTCAATTTTTGTCTTAGTAAACATTTAGAATTAGAAGCTAAAAGAGGCATCAAAGAGGACGATAAATTAGCATTTAAAATGATAATGCATTAGTAAAATGACCTACAAATTTATGAGATTATGAGCAAGAAAGAGCTAAATACGCAATGTGTCTCATATAGGAGAGAAGTTCCTGCTAATTCTGCATCCCACCGTAATTTGTTATTGTCTAATGTCTTTCAATTGTGGTTGCCTATAGACAAGATCCCCAGCTACAGAAGACTCTTATAAGCATCAAACACACCATAATTTGTGAATATTTATGCAGATATATGAGTGAGCCTGAAAGAACACTAACTCTCTGAAATGAATGATTAAACAAAAATATTTCAGTGACTAGTGTTCTAAGATAATTCACACCAAATTTTTATTTATTACTTTTAAATTTTACATATTAAATGACAGTGATTTAACTCCATTGGATGGAGTGTTTTTGAACAATTTTACTGACCTCTCTAAGGTGTGTTTCTTTACCTATGAAATGAGAACACTGAATTGGAAACTAGATTATCTAGAAGTTCCTTTCAGTTAGAGAATCTTGAGTGCCATTGATACTGATGTCTATTGAAGGAAAGAACTGTGAAGAGTCTAAGATTTTATCCAACTTGCAAACTAATAAGTTACTCTGCCACACCTTCATGGATGCTAGCTTAAGACAGAAAGACTCCTAAGTCAGAGACAAAGGACTTTAATTATTACTTACTGCACTTCAATAAGCACCATTAGTGCCAGTTCCCATTGCACCCCAAGTCGTATAGGAACAATGCACAGCCCCAGGGAGCTACTCTGCAGGAAGGGAGTTTGTGTCACAACTGAGAAACTCCATGCTTAGGGAACCCTAGTGATTTATATAAAATGGACTGCAACCAACCTGCCCAATCTTTGCCCCAAAAGAAGAGATCTTTAGTACACTGGAAAGTAAACAAACCTGGTTTGTTGTCTTCTGCTCTAGGGGGGTCACTGTTTTTATTTCCTAAGGCTTTAAGTATCTAAACATTAAAGTTAGTCTGGAACAATGTCTGTGAGCACCACTGTTCACAAGATGTGCAGAAATTCAAGAGGCTTGTGGAATATTGTCTCAGTATCACCTCACCCAAAGGAGAAAGTCAGTTAACATCCTCTAAATAATTCATATGTGTACTAAATATCACTACAGATTGTTACAATTTATGCACATGTACATAATGATATGTTCATGCATAATTAGGCAGTCCATTATTTCAACTTTAATATCAAACTGTTAATGCTTTTTTCATTTATAAGTTTCTTATTAGAAAACTATCTTCAAGTTACTTATTGTTGATGTATTTTTTCTTTTTTTAAGCTAATATATTCTCATTGTAAAATACACTATTAACATATTGTTAGACTACACAGACACACACACACACATATATGTATAATTTATATGTGTATACACTCACACATACTAGTGGATATCTGCTAATTTTTTGTCTAAAAAAAATTGGTATGAATGTCTTAGAATGCTAGGCACTGAAAGATTTTTGTTTAATCATCTATTTCAGAGAGCTAGTATTCTTTCAGGCTCCCTGGCACATATGCATAAATTCACACAAAATATGGTGTATTTGATGCCTATAAGATCTCTTAGAATCACCTCTTTTCTGTTACATGGATTCACATGGCAAAGTACAATTATGGGATCCAGTCTTGGGTCCTTTTGTGACGTCAACTCATGAATTATGTGTCCTACAATAACCAAGTGATTAAACAAATGTCAGGGAGAGTGTTCAGAATAGTTTTGATCCTGTAGAAGAGAAAGTTTTATTCTTTTCTGTTGGACCATGTGACAGCCATGAGAATGCACCTCAGAGACCTTCAAACCAGGGCGCTTGCTTGGCTATGATCTCTAGTTGTTGTGCTCTGAAATCCATCACCACATCTGCATCAAAGCCATGCTTGCTACGCTGCTCCCAGCCAATGCTGGCATGCAGCACAGATATGAAGGCAGACTCATTCCTGGGAGATACAGGACTCTTACAGTAACCAACTTTGACTTCACTCCCTGTTGGTCCTGCCTGGAATTTTCTGTAGATTACATAAGAGCCTATAATGCTTCCACCTTTCTTTTCCTATTTCCCTCTGGGTCAGACTTATACTGTGGTCCGACAGCTTACCTGTCTATCCCAGTTCCTTTCCCATTTTCTCCCACAAGTATTTTCACTGATAAAATCTTTGCATGTTTAATCATGTTTACATGTCTGCTTTTCAGAGGACCTGACCAACATAGGTCACTGGCTCTTAATAGGATCTAGAAGTTCTGGTGAGATTATTTTGACTGTCATGTTTCCCCAACATGGAAACACAGAGGACAATGCAGGCAGAGAGGTGAAGTCAATGGATAATATTTGTTGAATCCCTATAGTCAGTGAACTTGAAGCCAGAACCATCTTGGGATTCTATAGTCCAAAAACCATGAAATCCCCTTCTTTTTTTACCACTCTCTTCTCCTCCATAAGAACAAGAACTACTGTCCATCTTCCTTCATGAGAGTAGAATCAGAATTGATCCAGATTGCCTCTGAATAATACCCAGTGCTGGTACAGAGCTGGTAACATAGTAGATACGCCATACACATTTGTTGAATAAATAAAATTTAAAAACGTTTTAATTCTCCCTTGTAACTTCTAACCACTTTAAGGCTGAATTATCACAGAAGTACAAAGGATGTCCATGGAACCACGTATGCTTCCTCAGTCCAGGGGATCCAGTGGATAGAACCTTTGTTGTGTTCCCTTTCTAATGCAGGCAAAGGGTCTGTACAATCCACCCTTGGAAGAGAAGAAAAGCTCTAATTTTGCTCTCTCTCAAGCTACATGTCAACAACTCTTTTTTTTTTTTTTTTTTTTTTTAAGAGCCACATTCTCTTGTTCCATCCAATTAACATTTCCACCTGGATGGGCCCTGTTGGAGCAAACAAGAATTTCCCACAAAAAAATTAACTGTTTTTCCATAATACAACATTTTAATTTAGACTTATTTGTTCCCAAACAAATAAAACCTACCAAAATTTACTAAAGCTAAAAACCAAACAAACGGACTAACAAAAACAGCATAAGAGTTACTATGAAAATTCAAGGTGCCGTAGGAATTCTGGGACCAGCATGCAGTTAGACTTCAAGAATAAAAGTTACTAGAAAGCATCAATAGTTTCTCTCAGTCTTTCATATGTATTCCACACAGTCACTATGCAATTCCAATCACATGGAGATTAACTCTTTGGCTCTCAGTACCAATTGCAAATACCCAGGAGGGAGAATACAGCCTGGCTTGGGGATGGATTCACTCCTGGTATTACTAACATGACTGCCTGGTATCCAGATTTTCATTTATGAAAGAGGAGTTAAAAGGCGAGAACAATTCCCTCCAAAAGGAGTAATTATTATTACCTGGAACACATTCCAAAACATGACTTCTATCTCAGGTACCAAATAAACATTATTTTCATCCTAATAAGCGTTTTGAAATGATGAAATTTTCTTTTTGCGTTTTTTCTTTCTTCATAAGATTGTTGACTGAGTTATACCTTCTGTTGAGTGAGAAAAGACACAAGACAGTAGTAGGAATATTATAGAGTAATGGAGAGTCATCTTACACCATGTATAGCACCTGAATCTACCAGCAAATTGCAAGCTGAGGCTGTTGTGAAATGTATTAGTCAAGTATGGATGTATGTTCTGTTTTTATAACCTAAAGGTAATATGTATAAGGGGTCATACCTGGTGGGAGGACTGGGAGAGACATTTATAAATTAACTTAGCTATAGTTATAGAAGTTTGTATTTTATAGTATGAAATACATGGGTCATCTATTTCCTCCTTTAAAATATAATAAATTTTTTAAAAATGGGAAGAAAGCTGTATCAGTTTGTTTTTATGCTGCTGATAAAGACATACTGAGACTGTGCAGTTTACAAAATAAAGCTGTATATTGGACTTACAATTCCATATGGCTAGGGAGGCCTCACAATCATGGTGGAAGGCAAGGAGGAGCAAGTCACATCTTACATGGATGGCAGCAGGCAAAGAGAGAGCAAGTAGTGCAGGGAAACTCACTTTTATGTAAACCTCAGATCTCGTGAGACTTACTCACTATCATGAGAACACCACAGGAAAGACCTGCCCCTATGATTCAGTTTCTTCCCACTGGGTCCCTCCCACAAGTGGGAATTCAAGATGAGATTTGAGTGGGGACACAGCCAAACCATATCAGAAGCCACTTACTTTTAAGTCACTCATTAATTATTGCCAGCCCTGGGGCAGCAAAGTTTATTCCAGCCTCTGATCCAATTGTTTAAATTACCATAGATGCTATAGCTGGGAGTACTGGCACACTATTTATTGCTCCATGCAGTACAAACAAATGAAAACAAAAAGAGTGCTGCCAAAGTGCCTGAGTTGTGGGTGTAGTCAGATCTTTAAAAAAGCTGAGAGGCATTGTTTTCTTCCAGCCCAGCATTGGAGATTGTGTACATTTTATGAATCCACTGACAGCAAAAAAGAAATAATATATGCTCACAGGCTAAATTTGGGTTCCTTTGTTAACGGTCTCTACATTTTAGTTTGATTTATTTTGAAATTTGGAAAACCTGTGCTGCCAACACATTTAAAAAAACAAATGGTGAAAACTTCTCCTTAGTTTCCAAAATGTCCAAAATTATTAACACTTCAAAGGCAGCCAGACTTGAACTAGAGGGGACCTAAGCACAAATTATAAAAAAAAGAAAAGACTAAGACCAACTTTATTTCTGACTTCTTTTTTAATGTCTTGAAAGTAATTTTGTAGTAAGACTTACATTTTAAAATGTAATATATATATTTTTTTCCTCAATCTATTAGTTGTAAGAACACCTATAACAAGAGAAGAGAAGATTGGAGTGGTAAGTAAAATATCTTCACCTGCATTCCAAAGTTAGCTTTGGAATGTTCCCAAATACTTTATAGACAAAAACAACTAAAGTCATAAAACTGACTGCTCTAAATAAAGAGGTTATGGTTCAGACATTATGGTTCTACAAATCATAACTGAAGAGTTTCTGTCAATTTTTCTTTAAGACATCTTTATAATGCTGATAAAATCAAAGAGCCTTGCTTGTAATTTATCATGTTCATATGTATAGCTTTTAAAACTTAAAAATTTATTTTCTGTTAATTTTGGTTTCAGGCTACATAGCCTATTTGATGTTACATGATAATGTACATTAAAGCCTAGACTTAGAGGAGTCTCTGATAGCCCCAAGTTATTTTGCGAGGTGAATGTGAATGTACCCTCACATTAAAGAGCCATTTGCTTTGTGATTATTAGAGATTTTTGGTTTTTTGTTTGTCTTTTTCTGTTTCTTCTGAGCCATTCAGTCATGCAGTCAATATTTGTTGGGTGCCAACTATGTGATAAACTCTGATTTGCGCACTTATTAAGGAAACAGAACAGATGATATTGCTTGTCAATGAAGTGCGTATTTTAGAGGGAGGAGGAGAACAAAAAAGAAGCAAATACGTAGTATGCCAGAGGATGATAAATGTTGTGGAGGCAAAAAAAAAAAAAAAAAAAAAAAAAACAAATGGCAAAAGATATGTCAGTATGTTGAGGGTAACAACTGCAATTTTGAAAAGGCCTCACTAGAAGTTAAAATCAGAGCAAATACTTGAAGGAAATAGATTCTAGAGGAAGGGAATTTCAAAGTGAGGACATAGTCAATGAAGAGGCTCGAAGACATGAGGAGTGGCCTGGGTTTGATATTTCTGAAAGATAACCAGAGAAAAGATAATTTTTGTCTAACTATAGCAGAGAGAGCAATAGAAAGAATGAGATGTGAACAGTTCAGAGCAAGTTGATTTCATTTTATGTCTTTGTATCTTTGACATTATTTGTGTCCAATAACCTAAAGAAACTACTTTGAAAGAATTATTGGTGTTTGCTTAATAATTATTTGATAGTCACTTATATCAAGGATAACTGTCCTGTTTGACAGATGATGTAGTAGTTTCCAGATGTTAATTTTTGGTTATCTTCCAGCAAGTTTAAATTATTGATTCCAGGTGTGCTTTCTTTTTGTTCTTAGACATATGTAATACTAAAAAAATATCTAAAAGTATCTAGCCTGGAAGTCCAGTATTGTAATAAAAGCACATGAGTTAGTAGCATAAGGTAAGGACGGTATAGTTTAAAGTTCTCATTACTGGTAAGCGGCAAGAGAAATACACATTAGCTGTAACTAGAAATGAAATTACTCTTTTAACATTTACATCTTCTTTAACCCAGTTCTGGCCCATAGTCCTCATAAGGGCAACCTTTGTATCTACAACTATTATTTTCTATTTTCTAGTCATATTGATTTAATCAGGGATGAACAATGACCCAAGCTGGAATAACCATGTTCTCTTTCCAAAAATGTTGGGATATCAAAACATAAACTGAAACACCACGTTATATTGCTGTTAGAAATTGGAACTGTAAATTTATGGAGAGAAGAGGGAATGCCAGGGAAAAAAAGCCAACCAGATTCTTCTGTTGCAAGCTAAAATTACTAAAAAGTATAATCTAGAACTTTGCAAGCAAGCATCTTCTATGGGAAAGTGATATACTATACCTTTTCACAAGGCTAGAATGTGAGGCCAGGCAAACATATACTTCATTGAAGGCCTGGCAATATTGCTTGCCGTTGTGTTCCATGAGCTCGTTTTTCTCTTTATGATAAACATCCTATTAACTTGGGCCTTTTTGAAGGGGTTCCATTTCTTTCAACCTAAGAGCTCTACTACTGTTAAAGACTGGATATAGTAAAGACTTGACATGTTGAAGTAAGCTTGTTGAATTGTTTAAGAAGGCTTTCAAAATATTGTTTTAAGTGTGATAGGAAGTTGCGCTGATTTCTGATAGATATTCATAGCAGGAATAAGTAAGATATCACTCTTCTTCCTCATTTGAACAAGGTTGAATTTAGCGATTACCTTGCTTCATATGGGCACTGTGAACATACACTTTTGAGTATGTAGCATGTTCACTATTAAGGGAGAATATTTAGACTTATACTTACCTTGTTCTAGATGTGAATGGATCTTATTTCTTCAGTAATTTGAAAATGTAACTGCTAGGCATACTGAACGAGACCACCTAAACAGGCGTTGTGTGAGCAGCATGGCTGTTTATTCACCCGGGTGCAAGTGAGCTGAGTCTGAAAAGAGAGTCAGCAGAGGGTGGTGGGATAGGAGTTGGTTTTATATGTTTGGGGTGGGCAGTGGAAAGTTACAGAAGTTACAGTTCAGGGCAGTTTTTGCAAGCCAGAGGGGTATCGCCAAGGGGGTGTCACAAGGTACAAGGTCCAGTGTCGCAAGGTTGGCTTATCAGTTGAGAACAATTGTGGAACATCACAAGGTCGGTTAATCAGGCAGTGCAGAAGCTAGCTATTCTTCTCCTTTTGCAGTTTTCTTGTTATCTCAGACTTTCTGGTTCTAGGAGGCCATCTGGAGGTGTACGTGTGGGTCACAGCGGTCACCTTGATGTAGTCTATGGTACATTCAGTTGAAAGAATCTTGCAGTAACATCTTTTCTACCTTTTATCTTTTCTTTTTCCTATTTTATGATAACAGAGTGGCCAAGGTAAATGGATGACTTTGATGGAGAAAAAGCTTTGTACTACATTTCATTTTTAAACTTTAAAATCTGTGCATTGGCCAGGTGCAGTGGCTCACACCTGTAATCCCAGCACTTTGGGAGGCCAAGGCAGGTGGATCACTTGAGGTCAGGAGTTTGAGACCAGCCTAGGCAACATGGTGAAACCCTGTTTCTACTAAAAATACAAAAATTAGCCAAGTGTGGTAGCAGGCACCTGTAATCCCAGCTACTTGGAAGGCTTAGGCAGGAGAACCATTTGACTTATTACAAATAATAATGTGTAGGTGGAGGTTTCAGTGAGCCAAGATCGCGCCATTGCACTCCAGCCTGGTCAACAAGTGCGAAACCCCATCTCAAACAAACAAACAAACAACAACAACAAAAACTGTGCATTAAATGCCTACTATTTGCAGGTTATCTGTTAAGTGCCAAGAAAGCTGTAAGTATGATTAATGGATGGTACTTACTTTGTCCCCTCCTCTATAAAGAAACTCTTGAACTAAAGAAAATCTTTTGAACAATGGTCCTTGTTCTGGATTGTGTGAGTATAACTCAAATTTTGGCCAGGCGCGGTGGCTGAAGCCTGTAATCCCAGCACTTTGGGAGGCCGACGCAGGTGGATCACGAGGTCAAGAGATCGAGACCATCCTGGTCAACATGGTGAAACCCCGTCTCTACTAAAAATACAAAAACATTAGCTGGGCATGGTGGCGCATGCCTGTAATCCCAGCTACTGAGGAGGTTGAGGCAGGAGAATTGCCTGAACCCAGGAGGCGGAGGTTGCGGTGAGCCGAGATCATGCCATTGCACTCCAGCCTGGGTAACAAGAGGGAAACTCCGTCTCAAAAAAAAAAAAAAAAAAAAACTCAAATTTTGCTTACCATAGTGGCCAAATTATGCAGATCGGTTCACCTTCCCTCATGGTAGAGACCCATCTTTGGACAGGTGCTTATGTCACCTTTCTCACAAAATGGGCAAGATTTTGTAGATAAATCTGAAGTCACTATGACATTACTTTCATAAAATATTTAATATTTTATATTAAATACATTTAATATAAAATATAGAAATACATTTCTCAAAGAACCTAAGGAACTCTACCTTAGTAAGATTTAGGTTGATCTTTTAAACACCAAAACCAAAAACACATAAAACAGGTATGTATATGGGACAGGGAGCAGATGAACAATGGTTTTAATTATGAATTAGTCAGAAATTGAGTTAGGAAATCATATTACAAAAATATGGTAGTCACTCGTTATCCATGAGAGATGTATTCCAAGGCTCCCAGTGAATGCCTAAGATTGTAGATAGTGCCAATCATATATATATGTGTAAAGTATTTTCCTGTACATACATACCTATGATAAAGTTCAAATTGTTGTAAGAGTACTGTAATAAGAATTATGTAAACATGGTATCTCCCTCAAAATAGCTTATTGTACTGGACTTCTAGTTTTTAGTTTGTTTTGTTTGTTTGCTTGTTTGTCTGAGAGATAGGGTCTTGCTCTATTACCCAGGCTGGAGTTCAGGGATGTGATCATAGCTCACTGCGGCCTGGAACTCCTGGGCTCAAGCAGATCCCCCAGTACTGGCTTCCCAAAGTACTGTAATTAAAAGCATGAGCCACTGCACATGGCCTACCCTTCTTCTAAGAAAAGACAGAGCAGAACAGTGTGAGATTTCATGAAGCTACTCAAAATGGTACACAATTTATAACTTATGAAGTATTTTTTACTGAAATTTTCCATACAGTGTTTTCAGACTGGTTGACCACAAGTAACTGAAATCAGATAAAGCAAAACCACAGATAAAAGGGGACTACTCTATTTTATGCTTTCTAAAGTGAAGGATAAATTAGTTATTTTGAAAGAGGAAACAGTGTTTACAGTTACATTGATCCTCACTGTTTATTATAACACTGTAGGACAGCTGGTCTGTAACATTATTATATTTCAGTCCTAATTATTTGTTTTTCAGATTCTAAATGTCTGATATGATGAATGTGGAAAAGAGAGATATGGCCAATGTTTTTTGGCAATTGTATTTCTGTTCATGGTTTTTCTAATGCAAACTATGTCCAACCTTAATCAATAAGAATAACATCTTTAAAACTTTCAAGTACTTATTATAGTTGATAAAAGTAAAAGCCATGCTATTATGGCAAAAACTATAATAATATATATAAAAATATGGGCCCAGCTGACAAATGGAAGAGGATTTTGAAAAGAGAAATGATTAAGGACCATAGAGATTTAATCAAGATTAAAGTAATTATAATAGGACTTCATGACTGTTGAGTGGATGGCAAAGTAACTTCAGAATAACTTGAAGATGTGAAAATTAAGGGAGAAGTAAAATGGATTACAATAGTATAAAATTGGGCAAAAAATGTACATGGATAATTGCATAAAAACAGTGATAAATATAATTGGATTAAAGTTATCTGACAGATGAAGTGATTTTATTTGTAATAAATCAGCTGCATTTTTATCCCTTTTAAGATATGAAATAAACTTAATAAGACATCATATAATTTTTCTAAAGGTAACCAGGTAACAAGTTCTCATAGCTTAGGTTTTCTATGAATAGAATGAGACTAAAGAAAGTAAAGTATCCTGGGCCCTCGTAATGTTACTAATGAGTGGAAATAAGAGAACATTAATGAGGATTTTAATATCTCATATCCCCATTGGGAAAAATGTATTCCATTATGTTGCATTTTAATTTTTTGCTCCTATAGAGAATTAAAAAAACATTCAAATTTTACAGTCCACGCAGGGAGTAATGACAGCATCTTTTTCATGGCTCTTGTCTCCTAACTCCTCTTTTTCATATCTTCCTTTTTTTAAGTTTAGGGGTACAAATGCAGGTTTGTTACATAGGTAAACTTGTATCATGGAGGTTTGTTGTACAGATTATTTTGTCGCCCAGGAATTAAGTTTAGTACCCAATGGTTATTTTTCCTGATCCTCCCTCTCCTCCCACCCTTCACTCTCTGACAGGCCCCAGTGTGTGTTACTCCCTTTATGTATCCATGTGTTGTCATCATTTAGTTCACACTTGTAAGTGAGAGCATGTGGTGTTTGGTTTTCTGTTCTTGCATTAGTTTGCTAAGGATAATGGTCTTTAGCTCCATCTATGTTGCTGTAAAGGGCATGAAGTCTTTCTTTTTTATGGCTGCATAATAGTCCATAGTATATATGTATCACATTTTCTTTTTTCTATCATTGATGGGCATTTAGGTTGATTCCATGTTTTTGCTATTATAAATGGTGCTGCAGTGAACATACATGTCCATGTGTCTTTATGATAGAATAATTTATATTCCTTTGGATTTATACCCATTAATGGGATTGCTGGGTCAAATGGTATTTCTGTAGGTCTTTGAAGAATAGCCACACTGTCTTCTACAATGGTTGAACTAATTTATGATACTGTCTTTTTTAGTCAAATTAACTTTTATATTCCCATGTACATGCACCATTTTACCTTCTCTTCTTGCTTTCATCTTTTGTATATTATGTAATATAAACAATCATTCCTATAGCAGAATAATCAAAAGAACTTTAAAAATCAACAAACATAAATGCTAATGTGTTTGATGAGAGCCTCTACCCTCTCTGATTTTTATTTGGAAACCCAGTTCTTCATTTGTTTGATGTTATTTTGCTTCAATTAGTGTTTCTACCTATAAATCATAGATCAATGAATTTATTTTGTTTAGTAATATTTCATTGCTAAGTTCTTAATATATTTGGAAATTCAGTGCAATTTTATGTCTGTTTCATTCCATTTTAGCCCTAGAATTAATCACACAGACAAAGGAGCTCTTGAAGTACACTCCAAAGTCTTTAGCAATATATGTTAACCAAAATGCTACCACATGAAAAATAATTACATTTAATAATTTTTAGAGGTGTTTCTGGTTATTGTTAACCAGTGAATTGGGAAAGGAAACTAGAAAGTAATGTACCATACAACCAATAGTGACGTTCTTACTCTTTTCCCCCAGTATCTTCTGACCTAAACTTAAAAGCAGTCAAGAAATGCACACTGGGTACAGACAAAAAGAGTTCCAAAAGAAGCTATTTTTAGGCCATCCAGTGAGCAGGAAAGGAGGACCCTGTAAGTTAATGAGAGTAAGAAAATGTTTTTTTTT